CCCTACATGGGAGACTCCAGGGAAGAAGGGTGAAGTAGAGTGTCTCTCTCTCTCTCTCATACTCTACAGCAGCCAGGCAGCTCTGGAAAAGGAGGCATAACCTCTCCAGGTATGTTTTAGCTTTCACATTTGCTACCAGAAGCTAATAAGAAAACCAGAGCCTTGCAACAGGTCTGCCAGACACAAAATTGATAAATGTCCAATCACTCAGTTATGTGAGCATAAGGAGGAAGGGCTGACTGCTGGGGTGCTCATCTTTTGTATCTATTTTTGTTTGGGCAATGTCTGGACACTTTTTCCAAGCTATGGCCATGAACAACTTTAATATAACTCACTGTCTCATTTGCTTCTCAGCCTCTCATGACAAAACTTCAAAGCACGATAGGAACATATTTAAATTCCTGACAATTTGATCTATTTTACTTGTTCAACAACATTTATTTTAAGTGCATTACCTATCACTGCTCTGTGCGTCTACTGTAACATTAGTATATAAAATTCACCAGAACTCAGTCCAGGGGAGATAAGAAAGCACATTTAAAATGAAGACTGAGAATGGCCCTTTCGCTATATAGTTGTATTCAAATTAGTGCAAAAGTGTGTGGAAGCACTGGAAACAGAACTATAGATTCCGAGTCACTTTCTCTCCAACTTTCAATGTATTTAAAATCTTCCAAGCTATCAGTGAAGCTTGCTGTTGGAACTTGTGATTTTGTTAAATATGGCTGCATATAAGCCTTAAAAAGATATTATCTACTTTGACAGGGGGGGTGTTTGTTTTTTGATAATACCTATTGTAAATCAATCCTTTTTCCAACCAAACTGAACTTCTACCAAAAAGTTATATTGAACTGCATACATTTCCAGTTAAAACAATTTAGCTATACAAGAAGAAAAAAAAGACTAATTTTTATATTAGGAACTCACCTTTCATTACTCCAGTTTACCGTTGGATCATCCATTTTATTAATAAGAACTATTAAATGTTTTACACCTGCTGTCTTTGCTAACATGGCATGTTCTCTTGTTTGTCCACCTTTTTCAAATCCAGTTTCAAACTCGCCTTTTCTTGCAGAAATAACCTAATTAAATAAAAAAAAGATTTTATGTTGCATTGAAGTTAATAATGAAATGACATTCTAGTTACGATAAAGAACAATGCATGATAATATCATAAGTTCTGTAGGCAGGTTAAGGTGGCCTAAACGGAAAACAAAAAACTCAGAAAATGTATCAATTTGCGATATTACAATCTTAGGCCCCTTCTACATGTTACATATATTATACAATTAATCAGTTGATTGTGCAGTTTATTTAGACTGGCTACACATACAAATTAACTATCACACCATGAAAAGGTCCATCCAGCTATGTTAGAGCTGGAAAATGTGTAGAAACTTCATAGCTGGTTTCTATTCAGCTTTAATTTGCACATGTAGCAGGGTCTCCCCCTGCAGCTGTCAGCTGATGGGGCTCCCAGCCACACAGGGAAATCCTGCTCAGCCGGGGCTGAGAGTTCTGCAGCTGAGGGGACTCTCTGCCCCAGAACTGCCCCAGGGCTGCCAGGAGGAAGAGTCCTACAGCTGGTGGGGCTGGTGGCTGCACCCCATGTGCTGTCAGGGTGGAGAGTCCTGCCATTGACAGAACTCTTGGCCCCAGCAGCCAAGGGGCGCTGTTGGGGCTGAGAGTCCCATCAGTTGCAGGACTCTTGGTCCTGGTAGCAGTGGGGTGCTGCTGAGACTAAGAGTTATGCCACTCGTCGCAGCGGGAGTTTGCTATCTTCCGGTACACAGGGAGCCCAAGATGTCGATTCCAGGCTCCCGCTGTACCAGCAATAAGGTGTGATAGGATCTGATGTTGGATCCCGCATGGCAGAGGCACGACTGCCTGGATCATGTATTGGATCCCATTGTACCTTTGCCTGCATGCGTAGAAGTATCATTCTGCTTGGGCTTTAACATTTATAACATTGCAAAACAATAACATAATGAAATATTGGGGGCGGGGGGGAGGACTTTAAATAGGCTGTAAAACAGTAATTTAACTCTGAAAACATTTTACCATGACACAAATGAACTTAGCAGAACTGAATTACAGATATGAATACCATATTTTCTCATATACAAAATGCACTTTTCACCTCCAAAAACAGCTGCTGGAAATTGAGGTACACATTATAAGTGAGGAAATACAGTAAAAACACTTCCTGCTGCTTACGGTTTTTCTGGGTTAAGGCAAAAATAACTGCATACAACCCACAGGGAGCAGAACTATAGAGCAGGCTCAGCTCCCTACCTCTACTGCTCAATTACTTACTACAAGCAAGGAACATTTTTCTTCTGCCTTTCAAAAACAAGGTGTATATCTTATTCTAGGTGGCACACAAGAAAATATGGGAAACTGCAACATTAAGGTTTAAAATGTCACAATTGTCCACAAAATATAACACTCTTATCTATGCAAATCCAATCGACTTAAGTTGCAAAATTAATCACAAATAAAGTTCAATTTGCTTCTCTTACCAGCACAGCCAGATCAGCTTGAGAAGCTCCACCAATCATATTGGGAACAAAGCTCTTATGTCCTGGAGCATCTAAAATTGTGAAGTGTTTTTTCTCCGTTTCAAAATAGGCCCGACCGACTTCTACTGTTTTACCTTTGTCTCGTTCTTCCTGGTTTGTGTCTAAGGCCCAAGACAGGTACCTAATACACACAATGTAAATCTGCATTAATGTTTACTAACATAAAGGTTGTTTTTAAAATTCTCTCAAACACATTTTGTACAAAGAACAGTATGTAATTTTTACCATGTTATGTTGCATAAAAATAGCTACACGTAAGTTAAGACTGAGAAGATGTCATACCAACAATGTTGGTATACCTATACAGCAGGGGCGGGCAATTATTTTGGCTGAAGGGCCACTTAATGAGTTTTGGTGAGTTGTTGAGGGCCGCAAGGGTAGCCTCTGGGGCTGGATGTCCCGCCATCTTGGGGCTGGGAGTCCCAGCCCTACCCCCTGACGTTTGCCACCAGGAGTCCCACTCCTTGTCCCCAGAAGTACTCCTTTTTGGAGAAGGGGGCTGCCATCTTGGAACCGGATAAAAAAACCAAATCATATACTAAAAATCAAAATCTACTATAACATATTTGAGTTTTATTTTTAAAATATTTTTGTCCCGATGTATGTGTGCTTCCATAGTATATATAGGAGGTGATTGCATCATAGCTCAAAATAAAGTATTACTCTCTTACACATGAGGGTGGGAGTCGGCGGGGCTCAGCCCCATGCAAAGTACAGCAGGGGCAGCTGCAGGCTGGACCAGATATGATTAATTGATGGGCACACGCCTGCAGGCCAGATTAAATCACATGGCAGGACAGATTCAGCCCATGGGTTGCATTTTGCCTGCCCCTGACATACAGCATAAAACTGGACAGAGATACTCTTGAGCTTGATCTGCCTGGGCTAGTTTTGGACTGGAACTCAAGCCTGGGTAAAACCCACATGAATCCAGCTTCACCACTTCCAGTTCCAAAGCTAGAGCATTTAGAGCTAGCTCAGAGTATTTTTGCTTAGCAGTGCCTTCCACCATATAGACATCTACTCTATTATCCATAACTACATTGTAAACTCAAATATTTCATGCTTAGCTCCAGTTTAGAAATAAATGAATATCTGAAGAAACCAAAAGAGGATTAATTTAACTTGATCAAGAAAAATACTTTTATTCTTTTTTCCTCCAACACATGGACACACAATGCTATTTTTCCTTCGACACACAATCCTCCATAGAAAATACATACAGTACATTTTTTAAAAGTTGGTTATGAAATAGAAATGACTTAAAACTACTTAAAAGGATCAAGATGATTTCATGCCCACCAATTCCTCCATAACCCAAGAATTCTTGACAGAACGAAAAGACAGATATCACAGAACTGGAAGGTCAATTCTTCTTCCCAATAGCATTAAGCATTAACATTAATTGAAGTAACAAAAGCATCATACCCACTGTTGCATATGAGCAAGAAGGGCACTGAAAACTATGCTTTCATTTTCTGGCTTATAAATAAGATCTTAGGAACTGCTAGTTTTCCCCTGTATTCTCTTTTCAAAAAAAAGTTATTTCCTGGGCAACAGATTAGATATTCTTTGCCATCTAAAGAGAATGTTTCAAGTTTTCCCAAGATGGGATACTACAGAAAAGCATACTTCTGAATCAGTTTTTTAGATAACAGATTGTTGTGTAGTACTAGGCACAAAGCTTGGCAGAGGGAGGTAAGGCAACCTTTAGTCCAAGCATCAACCAATTTTACAATTTAATGCTAGATTTTAAACTTTACATTAATTTTTCTGCCCTACTTTGAATCAACATGGCTTGGCTAAAACATTTAGAGTAAAAATAGCATTTGCAAGTCATTTTACACACCCTTTAGCAACATGTAGGACATTTCTATTCTCTACCAGTGTTATGGAAAAGTTCTGATAAAACTAACTTACAAATGCTTTACCCTTCTTCTAGAAGATAATCCAATGAAAGCTGGGTATCAGGACTTCTGTTCTTTGTGTTGCTAGTGAATGACACCAGCTAATAGAAGTAGGTTGCCCAAAAATATAAGAGGGAGTTGGTAGAATATGAACAAAATTTAATTAAAATTTCCTGTACTAAAGCAAAAAACAATTTGGCAAGTCTACATGAGGGCACTGAAAAATACAAACTTTTACAGTCTCAAAATATAACAGTCTCTTGCTATAGAAGCTTGCCCACTGTTAAAAGCAGCTTTTTCAACATGTTAAACGCCTATTCTTATAAGACTGTCCATTAGAGAACCTTACAAGCATCAAATCAAGCCACATGCATGTGAAATAGGAAAAGAATGGGGAGGAATGGACAAAATGCCTGTTATGGCATTATAGCACCTAGAGACCTCAGCATTAGGTTAGGAGATCACTATGCTAGGGATTGTACAAACACAACAAAAGGCAATCTCTGCCCTAAGGAATAAATATAAGACAAGAGACAACAGGTGTAAACAGAAAGGCAGTGGAAACACCAAGAAACAACGTGACAACTGGTCATCAGGAGAAGCATGGCAGCTGGCAAACTACTGTTGATTTTTCCTGTACATACCCAGTGCAGTTTAGCAAAGGATTTGAACAATATTTAACTATAAGGCACTGCTGCTACGTGTAAGACAGTAAATAAGAATATAGTTTTATAATAAGGACAGACAAATCTGAGCAGATAGGAAGTAATAACTATGATTTGAATTTTGTCAGGTATTCAAAAGTTAGCGCACAGATACTTTGAATCCTTAATAGCAAAAACCTGCCTGGATCTTTGTTTTAGCTCATGTATTATTCAACATAATGTTGTATTGTTAGTGAGTACTGTATCAAGGGGTCACATACTACTTACACAAACTCTATCATACCCTGTCTCACACTTCAGAATTTCCTGGACTTCTCAGCAACAGACTAACTGGTCTGATCCTACTCAGCTTGTATATCCCCACGCAGGGTACCAAGGCAGAAAATGTCTTTCCCCTAACACCTTTAAAAGTATTATGCATATAACCATCTTTTGCTCACTAAAACCTCTGCTCTATCAATTCTGACCAAGAAAAGTTTAGTAGACCTTTGAAAAACTTAACTCCCCAAACTTCAGTCCTGTCAATTATGGAAAAATTTGATAAATTACTACAATGTGGAAACCAGGTTTTGTTGCTAACTATGCCATATTTTGTTAAGAGAATGATTTAGGATATTTTCATTTTCAATTCAAAGAATTAAGACTAGAAATACCCAAAGCATTCAAGGTCTTTGTGAAAAGTCCACAGGCTTATCATAGGATACCAGAAAAAAGACAGTCTCTGCTCATGCTTGTCACAATAAAATGAACTCATGCCATGTTCCAGTCCTGCTGTCCCACCATAACATGCATTTAAATATCAGGTCAAAACCTACCTCTCTCTAGGGTTCCAGTACTGCTACCCCTGAAAATGTTCTCAGCTGCTGCTCAAACCCCCCTATTCCCTCCAAGAAACAGAAGACATTTCTCAGAGGGAGCTCAGATGCCCAGGAGCTGTAGTAGGAGAAAGTAGGAAGCAGGTTGGGCTGCTACATTTTGACTCCCGGGGGGGGCGGCGCTTCCAGCCTGTGACTGAACTAAATTCATGGCTGCTTATTCCTTTATCAGCTTATGTGAAAAATATTTATGGGCTAGACTTTTGCCACCATCTCTCCCTACTCCCAAAAGACTGTCAAGCTTGTGAATTCCCTCCCTCATCTCTCTCTCTCATTTACAAGGGAAGGGTCTGCCACTAGCTATCTGCTGACCTGCAACACCATAGCTAAGGCAATGCTTTGCAGGACAGATAAGCAGAATCTGCTCCAGTGTTGAACACACTGTATAAATGCAAGCATGCTGAAGAATTCTAGCCAGAGAAATACTGGGGGAAATAGCATAAAGTGCTATAAAGGAAAAAAAAAAGAACACAGTCTGCACAGAAGCTCTTGAAAAATATAAGTTGTTACAGTCTTAAGAAACAAATTTCATACCATGTTTCTCTGTTTTTCTCTTTAGCTTCTCGCTCATATTTTTCAAGTGTTCTTTTGTCAACCATTCCTGTCAAGTACCTAAGGAGGGAGGAAGATATTTTACGTTAACAACATGGCAACTACATTTTTATCTACTGGTATATGAATAAGTTACTCTGCAGAACTGAGGCATGGTTTCAAAGAGGGCAGAGCTGGAATTGCCACCCTCCAAAAAACAACTTGCCATTTTAAGTGTAAATTAAGAAAGTAAAACATAAAACTATAAATCTATAAAACTATAAATATATTAAGAAAGTAAAACATAAAACGAGGCATAAATGTACTTCTATGAGCTCATCTCAAAGAGATAATGTTTTAGACAGCTAGTCCAATGAAAGCACCATGCAAAAAAATATTTTTGTACTGAATTTGGAAATGCTTCAGTTTATGGACAATTTAAAGAATACATAAAAGCCAGTAAGTAGATTGGGCGGGGGGTGGGGAGGGGTCAGAAACCCTAACACGTGACTTTACATTAAAAAAATGCAATGGAATGACTGAAAGTTTAAGAAAGGTATTTCTTTAACAGTCATCCCATCTTAGATTGGAAGTAAAGGAAGTGCCGTTACCCACTGATTTCTGCATATTAAAACACCTACATACCTATACTAGGTGCTCTTTGTCTAATGCTACCATGTCCCTTGTGGTGTTTTTCCTTAGAAGCTTCAATTTGATATTTTACTCATAAGGAAATAATAAAGGCAGCAACATATAAAAGAGAGAAAATACAGGCACTCTATTTACTTTCTTTCATAACAAGCAAAAAAAGATATTCAACAAAACTGAAAGGCAACAAATGTAAAAATGAAAAAAATACAGCAAAACTAGTTTATGGAACATAAACATCTTGGCAGGAATAAAAAAAATAGATACCTGCATGCAGATATAATAAAATATTAAAAATAGTGTTTTCTTCTGCAGCATGATCCATGAAGCCAAAGCAACTACAGAATAGTGGGGGTTAAAAAAGCAGCTTCCCCTATAATGAAGCTATTCCAGATTTGTTTAATACAGAATTTTTTGCATCGTCTGAGATACCCAGAGCTGACCGTTATCTGAAGAAAAGATGACTAGATCAGTGATTCTCAAGCAGGGTAACATGGCAGCCTGCAATGCCTACAGATCCTTTCACAGGTAACATGGTGTGCCACGTAATTTTAGCACTGTTAGAAATCTAAGAGCTGGCATTGTCTGAAGGCCTCAAACCTAACAAGGTTGAGAACCACTGGACTAGATGAAACAGTGTTTTGATCAACTATGATGACCTGCGTTCTGGTTTGATCAAAGGATAAGGCAAATCAGAGATCTTTCACTTTGTCACTAAAAGTATCATTTTTAAATTATGACAATACTTTCTTTCAGAAGACTAATATTTATATAGCTGTTTCCACCCCCCCCCACACACACTTATTATGTGCCATTCAATTTACAAAGACTTGAGCACCTAACTAGATTACTTTCATTTTTATCAGTAAAGAACCCAAACTGTAGATACATTTAACAGGCTTAATTTATATAAAATGGACAGTATATAATCTGGTAACTTTAAATGAAGTTATGATTCATAAACTAACTCAGAAACTGAGTACACTCAAATAGTTTTTTAAATCTTACAAAAAGGACAACTTAACAGAGTAGATGAACAGCAGCTGAAAGGTCAGCTTTCAGGAAAAAAAAAAGGAGTGACGTTTTAAAGAACAAACTGTTACTTTTTATTATTAATATCAGGCTTTTGTACAGTTATGCTTCTATTAAGTAAATGACACTCCTGTGGAGATCAGCAGATTAGTTCTGCTGGAGTTAAAGAATCAAAAAGACAATGAGAAACCAAATTAACAGACATTCATCAAAAAATACCGTTTTGGTATTCATCTTAAAATATTAATCTATACTGACAAAAGCCATCAAAATTACTATTTACTAATACTTAATGCGTTTTAATTCACAGTACAAGACTATACATCTAAAGAAATCTCTTACTGTAAAAGATAAGCTTGCTTACATTATTTGTCCTCCAATGGTTGATTTGCCGGCATCTGGCAAACATAAAAAGAAAATCAGCTAACAAATTCATTCAATTTAAGGTTAAAAAAAGAGAGAGAAAAGAAAACTAAAAAATTAAACACTGCAAGTGAAAGTGAGATAATCTTATTTCCTGACCATGCAGCACTGTTCTAGCACTTTGTCATCTAGTTTTAAAATATCCCAAGAAATGCAACTTCTATTTCTCTTGAAATCTATTCTACAAATAATCAATGAAATTGCATTGTTATGGTTTTCCCTGTTAGACCCAAGGCTCAATCCCACCCACACCCTTTCATTTTCACATCCTTCAGTTTATTTGCAAACTGTCTAAAACCATGGGTCAGCAACCTATGGCCCACAAGTCCACCCTGCAAAGGTCTGATTGCCTTCTCTGCTGCTCCAAAGTTTGCCAAATCCTAGTCTAAACAATTCAAGCAAGATCCTAGGCCAGGGGTGGGCAATTATTTGGGCCCAAGGGAGTTTTGGGAAGCTGTCGCTATCTGAGTCAGCGCCCCCCATCCCCCCCAAACAGCTCACCAAACCTCCCTATGTGGGATTTGGAGGGGGAAGAGCTGGTGCAACAGCTTCAACAGGGACAGCCTATGGCCCAGCCTTCTACCCAAGGAGGAGTTCAAGCAGATGCCCTGATCCCCAGGGGGGAAGCTGCTGCCTGCATCCACAGCTGATGCTGGTGCCCACCCAACACTGCTTCTGGCAAAAGCCCGGCCTGTCAGCAGGTACCCTTGCCAGTTCCAGGGCTCTTCTGGCTGCAGCTGCCTGGAGCCCACACCAGGACTGCCCTGCATCTCCTCTCCGCTACTGCTGCTACCACCCTGTGGGCCCAGGGTGGCCTGCAGGTGGTGCCGGGTGGCGGCAGTGGGGAGAAGCCACAGGGCAGCCCCGGGGTGGGTTCTGGGCAGGCACAGGCAGAAGGGCCCTAGAAGTGGTAAGAATGCCCCCTGCAGGGTCTTGCCTTCGCCTGGTGCCTAGCACTGGCTGCTGCCGCCCGTCATGGGCAGAGCGGTCTTTGTCTCTCTCCCTCCTCTCCCCCCAACATGCCTCCCCCCCTCCCTTGCCCTCCCAACTATTCCACACCTCTAGCATAACCCTGCATCTTACACCAGATCCCAGCCCATGCAGCAGAAGCAGTGCTAGGCAGGAACTGGCATCAGCTGTGGATGCAGTCAGCTGCTTCCCTCTGTGGATCGGGGTGTCCTCCTGGGTCTGCAAGCAATGCTGCTGTATCAGCATGTCAGCTGCAGCCTCAGGCACTTGCCCTGATCCCTTGTGGGAACCTGCAGGCAGTATCCACAACTAATGCCAGTGTGCACCTGGCACTGCATCCAGTGCGTGGAGTGGGAGCTGGTTTAAACTGTGGACAGGGTCAGGACATACCTGCCCACTCAACACAATGTGACAGCTAGAACCAACAGCTCCTTAAGGGCCAGATCAATCAGCTGGCAGGCTGGATCCAGGCCGTGGGCCATATTTTGTCCACCCCTGCCCTAGCCCATAGCATTTAGCAACTTAAGTCCTGAGTTTACCTCTCCATTTATTTTTTGATTCTGGCAAGTTGTCAATATTCTCTTGACTGCAAAACAGCAGTATTTAAGTTGCAATCTTACCGGGGACAGACAGGGACCATTGTTTTCCAGCAAAACGTTTTTTAAATCCTTTGCAGGAGATATGTTTGGGTACTCCTTACCTAATCCACCAACCAGATTCTCATCAGAGAAGCCACAAACATGGGTATTATTCTGAAAAAATGCAGGCCCTCTCCTATCCTTTTCTGACATATTACTGCTTTAGAAAGACGAACACAGCTGCATTATTAAAACAAGATACTATGACCTTGTCAAGGCAGGATGCATACTTTCATCTTCTAAGGAGGAAGTATGATTAAACTTTGGTACTCCCAGTTCCCATTGATGTAAAGGGCAATTTCTGGACCCCTGCTACTTATTCGTAACACTTGCTATGCAGTGTCAGGAGGAAAGCCCTGTTCATTCTAAAGTGACTTCCTAACACCGAGCAACAGACAGGAGTTTTGTAAAAAAAGAAAACACTTATATTTTTGGTGAAACAAGTAAACTACAGAACTAGAAAGAAAACCACACATTGGCTTGACTAAAGGGGCTGCATTACATAAAACCTCAAAGTATAGTTAAACATACATTACAAGTATTCTCCATCCCTTGCCCTGAAACTGGTATTTACAACTTACCTACATGTCCAATGAATACTACATTTACATGTTCTTTTTTAGGAGCACCTGGTGGTGCTACCACTGATTTAGGTGTTGGCATTTCTTCCTCTTCCTCCATCATTTCCTGGGCACCCTCCTCAGTAGCTCCTGCATCTCCTGATGGGCCACTTTCAAGTTCTACTTCACTTGTTTCTTCTTTGTGGTCCCATGATTCTTCAGGGGACATTTCTGTCTCTCCATTTTCCACTACAGGTTAAAAAAGAGGGACTATTCAAATAGATTAAGACATTAAATCAAAAAGAGCTAGAAATTCTTTTTGATTCTAGGAATAACTAATTTGATGGAGTTTTTTGTTTGTTTCATATTTGAAAAGTAGCATCTGTCTGTTTAATTTTTAACCTTGCTTGTGCCCTGCTACATTAAACAGGCAGTTTGTTTGGTTCTGAAATGGATAGTATGGGGAGCTTTCAAACCAGTTTGTCTGCTGACATCAGAAAACTGTGACTCACAGGGATTAGGAGAATTCTATTTTAACAAAGCAGCACTTTTATGGTGAAAAGTAAACCTAACCGTAGACTCAGAACAGCATGAGAGTCAATTACAGTCATACATCTGCACCAAAACTGCTCTGAAAAACATCATCATTTTAGAAAGAAAAGAACAATTTAATTTAAGGTTCACAGAAAATTATGAGAATTACAGCATTATTATATTCCATTTTGTCAATTCCAAACCAGGAGATCATAATAAATCCATTCTGCAATTTGAAATAAGATTTTTGAATAGAAGTGTAGGGTATTCCTATTCAAAGTTCAAATAATCCCAATACATCTGCCATCACAAAATTTATTGCAGTGGTATTTTAATGTCCTATTAACTCTTTTCCAATCTAGGCACAAAGCAGACAATTTTTGTACCAATAAAAATTGCAAAGGCTCAATTAAGGCAGCTTTAGTTTAGCTCACTTGTGAATTAACACAAGTGATACTAGAAGCCCTTTATATGCCTGTTATAGTAAAGCAATTTTCATCTTACCAACAGGTTCTGATACATCCATATTAACAGCAGCATTTGAACCTAAACCAAAAACATGAAGCAGTAAGTATATTAGTTTAACACAACACCATTAATAATTTAACATAATTTTGAAATGAACATTGTAATGAGATGGAAAGTCCAGCAGTTAGGGTATTAGCCTAGGAAAATGGGGATAATAGCAAAGGGTTTTTCAAGGATAAAAATATTTAAGATTTTATTCGAATACTTCAGTATAATACCAGGGGCCAAACAAGTACCGTAACAGATTGCTTTGGGGTTTTTTGTTTTTAATATCTTGGACTGCAATTTCCTTGCGTGTGATTAAGAAAATCCGATTTTTTAAATAAATCGCAAAAAAACCCAAAGCAAAACAACACTCAATTACCTTCACAAGACGCTGTTTGTTCCTCCTGAGAAGACTCTGAAGATGCACCTTAAATAAAAAAAAATCCCTTTTAAAGGAAAGTCATTGGATTTAACCTATTACAAGATACTTGCAAATGGCAGCTTTATCAATGTTATCAAAAGAAAGCTATATTAAAAAAATCCCCGCCTTGTGAAAATGGCATCAACTACGAGCTTGAAGCACTAAAGAACTCTGCTTATTGCTTTAAGAACTAGATTAGATACTTTTTGGGTATTTCCCCCTCATCTGGAAAGATTTACTATGAAAAGTTTAATGAAAGATGTTTCTATAGATGCAGTTCACCTGCTCAGCCTTTTTTGGTACTTTTTTTGTGCATATTTGGGCTGGTAACATCTGTAGTTAAATGTCTCTATCTGTAATGAAGTAATATTTCATTTGTGATGTCAACGTTGTATGAAAGAATTGTAACAAATCTCTCATAAAGGCATTTTTAGAATTGAGGAAATTTAGAATTTTGCTGAAGGATCAAGCAGGAAATTGAAATGGGCTAAAGAAGGTTAAAAGACCTTCTATGATTACCAACATAGTGAAAAATAAAAACAAGTGACTGGTAAATTCATTTTTTAAACCTAAAAGTCTGAAGTTAGTAGCAAGACCTCTCTTTTTTAACTGACAGTCTAATCATTTGTAGTTGGGCCAAATAAAGCATAAATGATTTTATTGCAGGTGTGCTCAACCCCTGGCCCACAGGCCAGATCTGATCCACAGAGCTCACCACTGGTTTGAATGTTTGGTGGCAGTGGTAAGATGAATTGCTGCTCCCCTACTGCCAAATTTCCAGACCTATATAGAGCCTGGTGGGCTGGAAAGTGTGGACATGCATACTAGATCAGGGGCAAAAGGCTTGGTATCCAGGACTAAATTTTGGCATGCAGGGCCAGGTTCGGGCGGCACAGTGCTGGATACCATGAGGTATCTAGCCCATGAATCAGCCCTGTGCTGTTCATCTGGACCATGAGGCCAAAAGGTTGAGAGCACCACTGATTTACTGCATCCACATCTTGATGTGGTTAATATAGTCTCCCTCATTTTTCCTAGCACTGCAATCATTTCAGTTGTATGCCCTTTGGGTCCCCACTATACAGTCTCTAGGCACAGCTCTAAGAAGCAAAATATTCTGAGACTTCGCAAAGCCATCAGAAATCAGGACAATTTCACTTATCTTCACAGCACTTTTATAATGGATCTGCAAACACAGTACCACCAGATTCATATTAAGTAGTAACTAATTATTTAACCTACCAGAAACACCCTATTTCAACCAGTCATTATAGCTTGAACTTTTGGGACATTTTACATGTAGGCACAACAGTATTCTACAAATAAACCTAGACTACAGCATTAACCTGTTTAATCTCATGTAGCTCAGGCTTCAGGTTTCTTTGAAATGACCAAAGTAACCCTTATGCATCTTAAAGCAGTATTGTCATCCATACTGTACCTTTCCTTTGCCCTAACCACATAATCATGCCACATCTTTTACTTGGTTGTGTTACCAACTCACTTGCAATCATATTGCATACAAATTCAACTCCTGCATTATTTGAGCAACTTGAAATATATGTAAAGTGAATTTTAAAAATAAAATAGATCCTCCCAAAATAAAAAAACAAAGCAAGAGAGACTAGACTCTCAATCACTTTGCTTTAGATCTGTATTATGTGATCATTACAGGCCGTCATAAACTAGTCTGACAGTGCCAGAGAACAAGGATTGCAAGCAGGGGTGAACGTGGGTCATAGTCAGTGGGTACACTGCACTAGGAGAATGAACAAAAGCAACAGAACATTGTTGCCCTGGACAAGCTAATCTGAGACCAATTAATATAATGCAGAAGACACAGCTCACTTCAAAGAATCGAGAACCATAATAACTGAACTCTTGCAGTAATCGTACTGCTGGTCATAGCATGTTTCATCAGATCAGAGTACTTTAAGGTTCTTTACAAAAGTGATTACTACTCCCATTTTACAGACAGGAAACAGACAGCAGTCACCTTACTCATCCAAAGTAGGACAGGAAATGAGTGACACAGCTAGAACCAGAACCTAGGTTTGACATTAAAACCCTATTCTAGAATAAAGCATGTCCCAAAATTCAGTTGGCCACAGTGCACTTAGTGAAAGCTGTAAAACCATTTCCATTACAAGCAAAAGAGTTTGAGAATTCATTTTTAGGGCTGAAATGTCCAGTTGTAGGCAGACACCATATGGAAAAACTATTCAGGGTATGCTATACTTCTACATGTCCTGATATAGAAACACTATGGTAAGTACAAAGAGTTGCCTAAACTGACTGTGTTTGTAACATATATTCTGAAGTTCTCTATAATGATTTCTAACAACAAAGTTTGGAGACAGCAGTAAAAAAGTAACAACTCTTCCTTCCCCAACCCAAAGAGACAGACAGAAAGAGAAGTAGGAACTAGCACACCGAGAAAGAGGGATTATGACTGACCATCCTAGTAGCCGTACTGCTCAGCTCAAGGCAAATTATACACAAAGCTGCCATATAATAATGGCAACAGCAAAAAAGCCATGTACCATTTTAGGCTGCATTCACAGAAATGTCACAGAACCAGGTGACAGAGATTCTGGTATATTTGCAGGTAAACATTCAGTTCTGGACACCACAATACCAATGGAAAGACATCCCACTGGTGGAAATGTCTTTCAATAAAGGACTAAAAGATCTAAATATAGCTAGATGTAATAAGCGAGGAGAGGACCTCTGCAAACATAGTGACCACGCTGATATCAGAGAAACTGAATTGGAAAAGAAAAGATACCATAAAATAAAGCTAAAAGGAGTCTTACTCTAACAGAGGAAAAATAGTTTGCGCCTTTCAGGTGTTTGTAAATTTGATGCTGTTTTCTCAAAGGTTTCAGATGCGAGAATTCTACCTACCTCAGAAGATTCTGGGTGACAGGTACTAGTAGATTGCTCTCCCTAACACGGAAAACCAAAATATGATTGAGGGAACGTGAAAAATTTACTAGCTGCTCCACGTGGAAAAAGAAAACAGGTTCCAGAAAATGACAACTTCCTTGATATGTTCCAAACATTTCTGAGGCTAGTTGTAGCTTAATGGGAGACTATGGCAAAAAACAAACAATCCTGAAAGTCTATGCTGACCCCTTTTGAAAGATTTTCAGGGCAGGTCAACTGACTGAAGTAACTAAAGTCCAGCATTCAGTAGCTGAAAGATAATCACAGTATAGCACTTTGAAGGTAAAGAGATACAATGGAAGAAGTCTTGCTGCTTTATTGTATATGCTATGTTTTGTGCTTCCATAAATTTCCATAAGCAGTAACCAACAGCAAGTCATGCTGAAGGAAAGTGACTATAAAAAGTAGGTTATGTTCCTTTCTCTGAAATACCATTTTATTTTACTTTTAATGGTTGAAAGGGCATATAAGATAAAGATAGAAGCAGTAGTATTTTAGCTTGCTTATTTCCATTGATAAAAAACAGCATAAATGGCTTTGAAAATATGTTTACACTAAAATGAAATTAGTTTTGTGTGTATAGGAAAATGCTATAGTTTGGGAAACAAAAATGAAGATGAGAAAGTAACTATAAAATCCAGTGCAATATTAAAATTACTAGGTAAGAGTCAGAAGCAGTTGGATAAAAGAAACTGAAGAAATAGACATATTTGAAAATTGTTGAGTCTCTCTTAGTACTTTAATTACAACAAAATCAGTTTTGTTGATGATTATATTTTATTGGGGTACACTGATAGAGATTTGGGGGAACAATCATGATTGCTGATTTTTAAGGAGGCATACTGGCCAATACCAATCCAATTTCCAATACAGCTGGTAAGTCTGTTGTGTGAAAAGGGGAGGGGGGAAGGAAGGTGTGTGGGGATGCAGATCAATGCCCCCTGTGGTGAGGGAGTGGGGCTGAAGTAGGCGCTGCCCAGCTGGGGCGGGACAGAAACGCGGCTTGTCTGGGCAGGGGGCACAGGGTGGGAGGGATGGCTCCCACTGCTCATCTGGGAGGGCATGGGAGGGGGGTGGGGAGGGGATGTGTGCCCCCAGATCTGCCTGCGTGGGGTGGGGCACAGCAGGCTGCAACTGCAGGCTGGGGCTGGGGGTTGCACTGTGCTTGGGGCAGGCAGCAGCAGTGCTGGAAGGAGGGCTATGGGAGGGGCCTGCAGCCACCCCAAATTTCGCTATAGTCCTCCCTCCCCCCAGCGTTGCCGCCTCCCACCCTGAGCACAGCATAACACAGCCCCAGCCCGCAGCTAGAGTTCACCCAGCCTGCCCTACACAGACCTGGGTCACGTGCGGCAGGAGCAGTGGTGAGAACCACAGGACGAGCTGTGCGCAGCGGTGGGAGCTGCCCCCCACCTCCCACGGCTCCATCCCGTGCCTGCTCCGGCTGGATGGCACCTATCCCAGCCCAAGCCCCACTCCATCCCTCACTGCAGGGGATGTTGATCTGAGCCCCCATGCCCCTTCCCTCCCTTTTCACGCAGCTCTCCACGCTACCGGGCTGTGCTCCTCGCTGCCTGTGCGCTGTGCTGCGTGCACACACAAGCATTTAATCGGCCAAAATATCTCCCACATCATTTCCAATATAGTCAATTTTCTTTATATTGGCACTGATCTGATATCAGACCAATATAATCGGTACACTTCTAACATTTTATGCTTCACCTTTTCTGAAGTACTCCGCTAAAGTACTGCTCACAGAGATTCTAATTTTCCCTTTCATTCTACCTGTCTTGCATGGGTGGAAACTTGGACTTTTGTTGACTAGAGACAGAACAGCCTCAGTCCAAAGCTTCTTTTCAGACTCCCGGTTTACTGAAAGAGGTCAAGAACCACAGACAGTGTATAGAGCAAAACTGACATGTTCCTGGTCAGCTTCTTTCAAGCACCAGAAACTCCTTCCTAAGAATTCCTGAGATGCTGAAGAATGAAAAAAATGCAAGATGCTCACACTGAATATACAGTGAATAACATAAGGACTCCACCACTATTCTATGTTTGAGATTTAAATACCTGATTTTATTACCATATTTACAAAATAGCCATATGGCCTTAGCAGTTCTTATGCAATTATGTAACAGATGTTTACCCTTCCTTTAGAGAGGAAATAGAGAAAGAAAATTAAACCAGAAAGGATATAAGAAGTCTGACTTATACTTTTAAGATGAGATTTGTTAGTTAACACACAACAAAACAGCATGATCTAGTTAAAGACAGTATTACATATTATCAACATTTACATTTTTGTAGAAAAGAGAAAGTGTTTAAAGAAATGGTTTCAGAAATTCACCTCGGGTATACACAGCGATTAAAGTGATCTACTGAAACTTTCTCCTGCCCCAACTCAAACCCTCCACCTTGTCTTCATTAAGGAAACAAGGTGGTTGTAACTAACATATGGTAAAAATCTTAGTGAAGACAAGGCAATTGTAGCCTACTAACAGAAGATGGTAGAATTTTCTTCAACCTACCAATCCACAGGAAAAACTACAAAAATTGCTTGATCTTTACTAAGATTTTAATCACATTTGCTAATATGCAATAAGAAAATACTTCCTCCATAGTAAAGATGCTTGTGGTAAAGTTTCTTACAGTATTTCTTCTTTGAAATCCACATGCTGCCACACAACAATGCATTACAGAAGCCTACATCATTTCCAAAAAAAACACTCATCTAAAAGCCCAGGAATCTTTCAAGAATATGTGATTTAACTGAGCCATGAATTCAAGGAATCAGGCTCAACATTTGCACAATTAAGGCTTCCAATGGAGACAGCTCATACCCTTAGTGAATCCAGAGAAAAACTAAACATCCCTATTACTTAACCAAGAATCAAAGTGCCCCCTACAACTGATATACATTGTTTCTAACACCCAAGGTATTACAGCCATCATAATATACATTTTTTTGGAATTCCTGCATTACCTGTATGGATCATCTAGCTTTATACATCTGATTGGGATATCTAGAACAGGGAAAAGATTAACTTCAAATTCTATTCCAAACATTATGACTTGAGAAACAGCATTTTCACATTAACTTAAGGGCCTGTTCAAAACTTCTTGTCAGAACATACATATGGCAGAAAGCTATTAGGAAAATCAAAAAAACCCCCAACTATCTCTTAATCTTAACTTTATATAAAGTGATGCCAAAATGCACTGGGTTCTACTGTACCATCCCCCCAAAATAGTCAGCTGCTGCTTTTATTTGTTATTTGGCCATTTTACATACCAACATTAAAAAGGAAAACATTTTAAAAGTAAAGAAATGTATCTGTAAAACCAGAAAGTGGTCATGGAACTTGGGAACTACTTTTGACTTAATTTTGTTATTAGATGTCAAGCTGACACCTCCTGTTAAGTACTCAAATGTTGGATTAAAGTCAGCCAACATGGAACCAGACTTGCAGTCTAGAGAACGCCAAGTAATCACCCAAATAAAGATTTCATTTTATGCTAGTTTAACAAGAATCCATACTATTTATTGACATTTCAAGAATCATATGGTATTGATCTACTATCACGTGATCAAGAATCATCTGAAAGATGCAGAGAATTACATACAGAAAGAACATTACAATTAACATTGTCAATTCTCCCCAAGGCAGTGCTATAAGCAGATCGCTAAATGTAAACATTAAGAAACTATATACACAGAAATGTAAGCCATTGTATAAGTCCTAATTTTGAATAGTTTCTGAAGAGGAACTGCTTGTCTGCAAACTCAGGATCTAGTTAGGTAGCAGGACTAGATTTTTATTTGCAAAAGATGAAAAGTTAAGTTAAACAAAGACCAGTAATGATTATACATAACATTTTAGAAAGATGTTTAGGACCTATAATGTCCATACAGGTTATAGAAAAAGACATAAACCAGACTAAATTATTTTTGTTAACATGATGTTATAAGTAAATTACTACATTAGTTCCGAAAAGGTAAACTTTGATAAAAAAATTATAATTTGAAAACCTATTTTTCAGTACCCGATTAAGGCTGGGATATAGAGAGCCTACAACTAAAGTTGAAGAGGATAATTAACATTAAAAAACCCCAGATTTTCAGGTCAGAGGAAAGACAGAGGATGTATCAGTTTGTTTGATTCAAGGAAGAATTTATTGACAGTGTTTGGAGGTTGAAAGCATCCAGCTGCTTCTAGAGAATCACCTCAAAACTAATGCAGGCCAGTCAAGATGCAGAGAGTATGAAACAATCTCTAAAGTCTTTGCTTTTACCTGACAACTCTTGCTACTCTTTTAAGCAAAACCTATTGTCGTTGCTAAATAAACAGTTTCTGCAATTTGCAGGTAGCAATCAAGACATTAAAGGAACTGTTAGTATTAATCCCACTAAAAGTAACACAATACCTTGACTTGCTTTACAGATCTCTCCTCCACTCCACCACAATGTTTTGTCCTTCCTTTTTAACATACATGAAATTGCTTACCAAAGCCACTGCAATCTTCAAAAGCTATTTAAAACCATGCCACAAAATAGAGTAAAACTCACAAGCAAACTTCAGGACCATACTAATAGGATTTTCTGTAAAACCTGATCACCATTCAAATACTATAAAAATAATCTCAAGACAACAGTCCTAATGCACTTTTATTCAGTTTCATCATAATCTGATTTTTATTTCCATACCAATTTTATAAGTTTTAACCTTCAGGAACACATTCTAGATAAGGATTTTTGTTTACCTGCTTCTAACTCCTTTACACATAATTTAAATCTTCTACAGAAACAGGAAAGTGAGGGAGCCCAGAATATAACTGCCGCATGTGTTTAGAGAAAAACAATAAAGCATAACAAGAAGTTAAATTGTGTGTTACAGAATGGCAAGACAAAGCAGCAATTTGCAAGGGTCAGAAATATCTGAAACCAAGATGACTTTGAATTTTAAATGACCCTCCCCCAAATAATTTGATTCTATACATGCAAAATTTGTAAGTTTGTTACAATTTTTCCATGTACAGAATCTAAGTACTGGAGGGTTATCTTCAACTCATTCGCGTCATCACTGTAGCAGGACAAGTAGCAGTAGGGGGCAGGTGGCAGGGGTGTCAAGCGGCCTGACCACTGCTCCTTGCCCCCTTCAAGGTTCCTGCTTTGTGCCTAACTGCCCCATGGGGCGTTGTACTGTCTGGTACCTGGTCCCCCACCAACCCCCCTTGATCCTCTGCCTCGAACCTGTCCCTTCTGCTTACCCTCCAGCTCTATCTCCAGCCACACCCCAAACCAGGACATGGAGCATAGGACTGCTTTGGCCCCAGCCTGGCCACCGCAGCAGCATTGGTTTGGAGCTGCTGCCACTGCTGCTGTGTGGCCTGGCCAGAGCTGGAGTGATCATATCCTCCATGCCCTGACCTGAAACAAGGCAGGACCATAAGTAGCAGCAGAGGCAGCAGCAGTGGGAGATGGCAATGGCTGTGGCTCCAAGTCTGGGTGAGAGTCAGAGTCAGAACTGCAGCAGCCACCTCCTTCCTCTCCACCCCCACCTCGTACTCAAATCCAAGATTCACTCCCCACCCCCCACTAAGTGAAGGGAACATCTTGTCTTGGATTTAAGTAAATATGGTGCTTTCATTTCAATAAATAGAGCTGACTTTAGAAAGTCGTCAAAAATCTGTTTCTACAAAAGTGCAGCTTGTCCATGACACCCATATACATAGTATGTTTACTGGAAGGTTGTACAGGACAATGGTTACAATTACAGAGGGAAATATTATAGAGGGAAATTCAGAAAAGTGAGAATTAAAATGCTTGTGCAATCTCATGAAATACAACTTTGGCTCAAGGAAATTTACCATTTTCTCTTTGGTACTTTGATCGAGATATTAAATGAACTTCAAAAAATAAACAAAACTCAAACCCTAAACCCTCAAGCAAAACTGTGTGTTACATTAAAAACATATCTTTCTTGCATCTTATAATAAAGATGTATTCTTAAAACCCGGTGTTAATGTGAAACATCATTTTATTTCTAACCAAAAGGTGAATTTGGTACTAAAGACTAACATGTTGTCAAGCTATCTGAATGCATATTATTTTGGGACACACATATGAAGCCAAACAAGAATTCTAGTCACATAAAAGACTAGAAGAGTGAGGGGGAGGGGGAATTACATGCAGATAGATATTCTCCTTAATACATGACTAGGGCAAAGGGACCACCTATCTAGATATCAATTTTAGATGAGAATTTCTTGGATTTGAAAAATAAAAAAAAAGTTCCCCTACATATTTTTTACGAAAGTTCACTAAAAAACTTTTAAGGGCCATTGAAAGCATTAATCTGGTCCAGTGGTTGCCAACCAGGGGTATGCATACCCCTAGGGTACTTAAGAAGTTCGTAGGGGGTACGCAGAACAAATGAGAAAAAATTAGAGGTGCATGGATACATCGGCCCCATATCAGATTGGCAATAAGCAAAATTGACTGCATCAGCAATCTGCTTTTTTTGGCTGATGTGGCCAATAATGTGGCTGATAAATGCTGTGCGTGCGTGCAGTCACAGCACAGTGCGCAGGCGGCCAACAGCACACCCCAGCAGCATGGAAAGCAGCTGGGTCCGGCTGGTAAGTCTATTGTGAGGGAAGGGGCATTGGGGGCAGATCCACCCTCCAGTGGTGGAGGAGGGAGTGGGGCTGGGGCTGCCCAGCCAGGGTTGGGGACTGAGCTGTGTGGTGGAGAAGCTCCCACCACTGTGCACATACCCAGGCATGGGGGGCATGTGACCCTGGATCTGCACGTGGAGCAAGGGCGGGCTGCCACTTCAGGCTGGGGCCAGGGCAGTGCCAGGCTCTTCTCAGTGAAGGTGTTAAGCTAGGCTGTGCTCAGAGCAGGCAGCAGCAGCTCTGGGAGGGGGTGGGGGGGTATGGCAAATTCTGGAGTGTCCGCAGCCCACCCCACCCCCATAGCCCTCCTCCCACAGTCCAGGCCAGCCCCGGCCCGCAGCTCTGGCCCCATACACAGATCTGGGGGCACACGCCTTCTATGCCCTCCCGGGGTGCGTGCAGCAGCAGGAGCTGGCCCCCCCTCCCAGATGAGCCGCTCGTGGCTCCTTTCCACCCCAACTGTGCAGCACCTGCCCCAGCCCCAGCCCCTCCCTCACCGTGGGGGTCTCCATCTGCCCCCCCACCTGTTTCCTATAAAGGGATACATGAGCTGAAACTTTGAGACAGAAGGGGTACACTTGTTAAAAAAGGTTGAAAACTCCTGATCTAGTCTATTTAATAAATGTTAAAACCATAATAAGGAAATTTACCATTTACAAAAGGAAACAATGCTACTAGTTATATCCAGGAAGCACAATCAGTCCTGGATATCCTGGTCTACTTGTTCACCTTATTCTGATCTGTAACTTTTTTTGTTAAAGTTTGAATTTTCTCCTAAAGAGACTGAATACTGAAGGGGTTTATGGAGGAAAGTGTTACTAGAAACTAAATTTAGGTGACTTAACTCATTTTAATTGACATCTAACCTTTTAGATATTTCTCTAAAGACCTGGCATGGTAACTAATATTATTCCAACAGACTATAAGACTGATAATAAACGTGACTCAAACTCTTCCACAAGCCGACACAGGCTGACTGCTGCAGAACACTTAACCGTCTGGGAGAGGGAGGGCAAAGTTTCTGTGGCTCAAAATAACCTATTCAGCACCACTGACTAATCACAAGATGAGTGGTGCACTGACATATTTCCAGGGCAAGCTCCACCTCTCCTGGCCAGAGAATCTACAGATATTAATTAGTTGGAGCCTGTGGCACAGCAGGATAAGACCAAATATTGTCTTATTGTGACCAGGTACATCAAACCTCAGAGGGCCATGGCAACACCTAGTAATGAAGAAAGAAACTATTTTTTTGGAATTGCAAAACCCTCTAATGGAAAATGGTTACTACAAGACACACTAAAGTGATTTTCATATTCAACAG